ATTGCAACGGAAGCTTATAGTTATCTCTCGATGCGTGCAACAAGAACACAAGAAACAGAAAATTGGGCCAGGTTCGAGAAGAGGAGGGAGTTTCGAACGCAGGTGTTCCCTGCAGAATTATTGGTAACCTGCGTCGGCGAAGGGAGAGACGAAGAGAAAGAGGGGAAGATACTTCCTGTTTACACGGCCGCAGTTTAAAGTGTCTTACTCGCAAGGGGGAGAGGGGACCACCACGGGTCTGTGAACGAGTCGATAACATCCGGAGTAGAGAGAGGCGGCGACGTACGCGTGTCGTACGCACTACGGGTTGTACTACGTAGTAAAATCGAGAACGATCGGTGGCGGCCAGCAGCAGAAACAAAAAAGGGCCAATTGATACCGGAGTCGAAGGTAACGGGCTGTACGTTTTGCACCTGCCGACAGGTGGCCAACGAACAGATGCCCGCGTATTCGTCGTGAAGCCCATCTTCGACTGTGTTCCTCTCCTCTCTCGCGTAATCGTTCCAGAGTGCGAGGCACCGAATAATTTAAAAAACGCATTTCCCTCTGCGATTATGCGTGTTAACGCGAGGGACATTTAATTGGTTAATCAGCCGACTGGTATATCCCGAGTATACTTCGCTCTTGTAGGCAATTTTCTACGCCGTTCTCCTTCTTTCTCGCTCGTTGCGTAACTGATCTTTGATTTCACTTTGCAGTCAAAAAGTTGGTGATTAGGATTTATGTAGAGGAATTTTGTATAAAATTGTTGCATCATGATAGAACGTCGATGAAGATCAAGATGCTGAGCAGTGTATCGTGTAGAATTATTTTATTACGAATTCTCTATTTTATAGTAAAGATTTATTTTTATTGTTCAAACAAAGTCTACCGTATATATATATATATTTTTTTTTTTTTTTATTTCATTGATATTCGAGAACACGTTGAGAAGAGAAGAGTACAGGAAATGGAATAAGAAGAATTTTAATGTGATTTACTGTTATTGAAATATATTAAAATGTAATTGAACGCAATTATATTAAACTCTGTTCCACACACATTCGTTCCAGTTCGGTAAGGCTGAATAATTAAATTATTAAATTCAAACTATCGTGGAAAGTATTTTACAACTTGTTAAAACTCGTCCGCGTAATTCGTCGTTCGTGTGTAAGCACCGGCGAAGAATTTCTAGAATTTGAACACAGAGGACCGCTGGAAATTACTGAAACAGATGAAAATTTCGCGATAATGAAGTCGCGCGTGAATAAAATAATACGAAAGAGAATTAAATTCATAATACAAGATCAACTTTGAAGAAAAAAGCTTTCATTCATGAGATGATAAAAAGAATTATTACTAAAAAAGAAATTCAAGTTCGTAAAAAATGGTAAAAAAATAAAAAATATCAGTTTCCAATGATGGAAATCTCCTTGTGGCAAAAAAAAAAA